GAATTACTGAAATAAATCTACTTTTTCATGATATTCTAATTTTATGACCAGCACCTGTATGATGGTTACCGGAAAGCGCAAAATACTGGAAGGAGGATATGCAGATATAATCATTTTGTGACACAATGTAATTTAATAAACTTGAAACTGGTTTCCGCTTTGTTTGGATTGAAAGAGACAGCCTCGAAACGAGTTGATCTGAAACACACCTCAGAAAAGGGGTAAAAGAGGGGCTTGTGGCGTTACAAGGAGGAACTCAGACCAAAGCGTTGCGGTTCCACTTTATATAGACCCAAACTGAAGGATTTAAAAGCATCACGTCTCCTACTTAGCACAGAGGTAATATACATTTAGAATGTTTGTGAATCAAGTCCATCTGAGTTGTCATCTTTTAATTCATTTTTTGAGATGATATCCAGGGCTGTGACAAGTGTTTTTTGTCTCCAAATGCAGCCTGCATTACAATATTTGCACACTGACATTATTTTAGTTTTTTAATTATATATATATTTTACTTATTNGAAAGTAACTCTGTGGCATGAGATGAGTATATAATACAAACAACAATACAGTGACAACTTTTCAACCCAAAAGGCTTGAGCTTCCTTTATTTTATATTTCTCTACTCTATTCAACTTCATCTACACAGCGCCCCCTTGTGTCCTGGCCTTACACTACAGTGAGGACACAGAAAAAGAGACACAACAGTGGAGCGATTTAAAGGTAGTTATGATTTCTTAACAATTTGCAAATAAAATCTGTATTAATCACACACGAGGGTGGGGGGTGGGGGTGCAGGCGGACTGTCAGCTGCAACAATATCAGGAGGAAAGGAGGACGGAAGAACTTATGTCTAGCAGCAGAGTGGGTTGGAAGTGAATCTTTGATGCTAATTGTAATTAAAAATCCTACAGGCTCTGACATGTTAAATAAAATTGAAACTGAGTTTAAAAAAAATTGCAAAACATAAAAAATCCATGAGATTATACGCCTGCGTACCTGCAAACTGACGGAAAATCAGTGTAAATTACAGACAGTCCATACAACTTGACATGATTATGTCTGTTAAATGAGCAAAGTAGCAGCTGCAATCCTTTTAGCGCATTTGCCTTCATGAGTATTCAGAATACAGTATACAGGTGCTGGTCATAAAATTAGAATATCATGAAAAAGTAGATTAATTTCAGTAATTGCATTTAAAAAGTGAAACTTGTAT